ACACACACACACACACACACACACACACACACACACACACACACACATATGAATAGTAAAAATGTATGTATATACTATATATGCTGAATATGAATATACACTGGCGGTGAAAAATGGGTGAATAGTATTTTTAACTGACTTCAAAAAAAGGAGGGCGGTTATTAATTCATTCGAATAGTTTTTTCATACAATGTAGTTTGGCTAATTCCGATCACTAAATCATGAAGAAAAAATTAAGGGTACCCCTGCATTTTTATATGAGCGTTGAAGTCGACTGTATTATTTTTATACCCGAGCGCACTTGTGCACAAGGGTATTATAACTTTGTTCACATAACGGTTGTTTGTAACAGGCAAAACGAATCGAGATAGATATAGACAAATGTATACATAAATGATCAGAATGAAAAGAGAAATCGATTAAGCCGTGACTGTCTGTCCGTCCGTCCGTCCGTCCGTCTGTGCACACGATAACTCGAGTAAAAATTGAGATATCTTAACGAAACTTGGTACGTGAACTTCTTTTGGGCGTGGGACAGATGGTATTGAAAATGGGCGAAAGCGGATAATAACCACGCCTACCTCCCATATAACGGTAATTTTAAGAAATACGAAAACTGCGATATTTTAGATATTTTAGTAACTACTGAAGCTAATTCACTCAAAATTGATACTTACAATGAGTTTCAGATGGAAAACATGAATATTATAAATTTTTGGAAAATGGGCGTAGCCACGCCCACTTATGGTTACATGTGTATATCTTGGTAACCGCTGCACCAATTTCTTCCAAACTTGGCACAGTTGTTGGCCTTAGTACAGCATACTAAATGGCTGAAAATTTTTAAAACCGGACAATAACCACGCCCACATCCCATATAACGGTAATTTCGAGAAATACAAAATCTTCGATAAATCAGTAAATATTGAAGCTAATTTATTCAAAATTGATGCTTGCAACAATTCTTTACCAAGAAATACGTTTATGGTAAAATTTTGGAAAATGGGCGTGGCTCCGCCCACTTATGATCACATATATGTAAATCGGTAACCGTTCTACCAATTTGTACCAAACTCGGTGTGGTTATTGTGCTTGCCACATATAAGCAAAACGTTGAAAATTATTGAAATCCGACTAAAATTACGGCCGCTTTTCATATAACGGTAAATTTCAGAAATGCTTGAAACTGCAATATTTCGAAATTTAAGGACGCTAATTTACTCAAAATTGATACACCCCGGCTTACCATCTAGCGGTAGGTTTCAGAAAGGTGAAAAAACATATATTTAATACTTGCGCCGGGTATTTAATGTTCGGCTCCGCCCGAACTTAGACTTTCTTACTTGTTTTAAATGTCACTTCAATGCCTGGTGAAAATTCGGCATTAAACGTTCAAACTTTATACAGAATTTATATTACAATTCCGCTTGGCATTAAATGGCGAAAATTGTAATGTCAAATTTTGCATTAAAAAAATAATCGGTCATTACGTAGAAAAAAATAGCCATTAAATTCATTTCCACATGCCGTTTTTCAAATGTCTTCAATTTTATGTCATTTTAATGCTTAGTAGAAGTTCAGCATTAGAAAAATTCAAAAAATTTTCATCAAAAATTTTTACTTTTTAATCCGAATTTTTTGGGTATGCAAAGTAAGTCCAAGTTTAGACGGTTAAAGAAAAGCATCGATTTTTATTAGTTTTTTTTTTTTTGAGAGCGTTTTGCACTTTTTCTCCAAAAATTCTGATTAAAAATTTCATAATTTTGATACAAATTTGTTGAAAGTATGATTTATATGGTTCTGGCATGCAAAATATTGTTATAAAAAATACCAATAAATTTTACTTAAAAAACATTATAAATATTGAAAAAAAAAAAACACCATCCATACATTTTCGACCGCCAGTGTATGCATGCATGTGTTCATACGTTCATATATTTTTGGTGTAAAGTCAAAAGCTGCAATTGTTGATGGTCTTGCATAAAAAGCTATTCCCTTTAGGCTTTAGAATATTTGTAATTAAAAGGAAAATTCTAGATTTTAAATAAAATAGATTTAATAGAAATATCATCGAAAATCGGGCCCGTAAACTTAAGCGTTACTTAGACGATGCATTCCCGGTCTGAGGTGATAAGGCTTATAAAATCCCATTATTAAAAAGAAAGTTTATTTAAGGAATAGCATGAAACCCAATATTTTTTAAATGTCTCTTTTTAAATGAAACGGCTAATTACCAAAGGGAATACGTCAGCATTTTTTCGTTATGACAATTTTGATCGAGGTTGAAGGAGCTCTGTTGAACTGCATCATATCGGAAAAATTATATATGGATAAGTCATTTGATAATTAACCGATTCAAATGGAAATTACTTCATCCCTCTTTCTCGAAGTTAGTCCAGGTATAAAATCATTATTTTGAATTTTTCAAAAAATAAATTTCATTCTGGGCATAAAAACGCAACCAGCACCACCACTGCTGCTCGCTGAGCCACAAACTAGATTTTCTGCAACAAACTGCTATCTAACGTTTGTTCGAAAAAAAAAGTTGAAAACTGAAATATTTTCACGTTTTGTGCCGCGTAGCGACGACTTTTGTATGTGCGAAAAACAATTAACGAGTTTTCTATTACGCGGCAGTTGGTTGTGTTTTGAACTGAGCGAGCGATGATACCCGTGAATGGGAATGCGAATGGCGCGGATGAGTCAGGCAACAACATTAATAGAGGGTTTTGGTTCGCTAGCTGGAGGTGTGACAAGGACTCTTGAGGGAAAAGTGCACTTCTACATACGTTTACCTGCGCATTTTGCGGTTGTGGTTGATGAAGTTTTAGACAGTTGAGCTTAAAGCCTCAAGGTATGTTTGTATGTATGTCATGATTTGAATTTTGTGTTTTAAATCAAATAAAGAATTTGTAAATGAATATTTCCGCGAGAGAGTTCTAGTTTAATTTAGTTGAGAATCTTTCTTTAAAAGTGACGTGTAAAATTTTTTTTTTTTTGACTCACCATTTGTTGCTGATTTTTTGGCTTTTTCACCAAATCGGGCACTTTGAATGATGTTACCGCTTCAATGACGTCAGCGAGTAGTAAGCCATCGCGACAATCTGCTGACAGATCGGTGACTCTCTTTTTGGATTTGGCACGTTCGAGATAGTAGTTTGCCCAATCGGTGTATATCTGAAAGTGGAAGAAAAGTGGGCTTACCGTTAGATCTCTTATTTAATGCTAAGGAACTACGTATTTGAAAGTAATCAGGGACAACATTTCTTTTATTGTGTTGAAGATAGTTTAGAAGATCAACTAGACTGACCTGGGATGTTTTCTCACCTTAAGCAACTTAAGAGAAATTTCGGTAGATATGTACAAAGCTACAAAAAGATTTAAAAAAAAAAATCGGCCACGTAAATTTTCCGAGAAAATCACTTTTTAATTTTTCTTAGTTTTAGCGTGAATTTCCAGAATTTCCATAAGCCTTTCTCATTTACTTAGTCTTCAAGGAGAATTTTTATTAGCTATTACTGCTTGCTTTTTAAGCAAAAATTGAATTTTAATTTTGCTAATTTTTGTTTTCTTCGTGAAAATTGTTAAACATAAACCCTACTCGAATTATTATCCGTACAATAAAATAAGCTTTACATATACGTCATACATGCACTCGCCTCGACAAGGAAAATGGCAAGGCTAAGCTCTCCAACTTTTTAATATTCTCCAATCTATCTTAAACATTTTTATCTATAGGCTGTAATATATGAAATGCATTAATGCATGCCACCGTATGAAAAAATTACTTTCAAATGACAAGTTTCGTAATAAAGGGCAAAATAGATTTTTAGAAAAATAAATAAAGTCAAAGAACAGCATAGTGAGAAAAAGGACTGTTCTTTGAAATATCGTACGGATGGTCACCGTACAGATAGTCCATCGGCTATCAATGCGCTTAGGTCGCTACCTACGACCAAATTAAGACCAGCACTCTGTGAGCAAAGCAAATACGAAAAAAAACGACACTGTCTGCACAGCCCACTGACCCGTATCCCGAAGAATCGACATGCATCCCAATAGGTTCCACGGCAACTGCAAGTATCTGGGCTCGAAGGGTGCAGTTGAACATTTTCTCTGCGAGTACCCGGCCATCAAAATAGTGAGGCGTAGAGAATTGGCCAATTATTCCTGCAGAATGGTTCTGAGAGTCCAGTCGTATGCCTCTGCATGATATATGTACTAAAAAGCTTTAAAATCGCCGAGAGGCTGCAGGCTCATATGCACTAAATTTTCACGAGCCCCAGTCACATTTATTCATTTCACTATTAAGTTCAGCACATTTCGGCAAATGTATATACGCATATTTATAAGTATATATGTGTATATGTAAACTAACTAGGCATCATAAAATGTTAACTTGTAGGTAGGCGGAAATATGACATTTGGCGCACACAAATTTCATTTGTAGTTACGTATACGCCCTGATGACCCAGGCAAAACAAAATTTCAAGCCAAACTCGAACAAAGTGGCAGTAAAGCCAAATAAGAAGAAGAAGAAGCATAACAAAGTGACAACATAATATTCTTCACAGTGATGTTATCATAATTATTGGCAAAATACTTTTGTAATTTCCGTACACCAACGTACAAAGATTTGTCAAGCAATTATAGCTAACAGGCGACGTAGGACCGATACAACCAGTTACAAATGCAATTACATACAACAATTTAGCATTACATTATATATACATATACATGATTATATGCAGATGTGTACATTGCTACATAAAATATAAAACTTATTGCAAACGGGAACAAAGATAACGAGAAACTGTGCTGCAAATGTTAGAGCAAAGGCAACGAAAGCTGGCTACTGGGATGCGGAGGAAATGTGTAGGTGGACATTGAGTTTGAGGATTACTGCTGCACAGTTGTGTGTAATATGATATTATCTAATTGAACACATGAGAGGAAGAGGCAGCGTAGGAAAATGTGAAGTCAACAACTAATGCTGCGGGGAGACGGTAAGTTTTTGAAATGCAAAATGTTCGCTTTGGAAGCTTAGTATTTCTTGCATAAATTTGAGAGAAATATAAATGTTGGTAGAAAGACTTGTAAATTAGTGAATATAGTGAAACATTAGTGATTTCTGGCACACAGAGTTCTGTTCAAAGGTATACAAATAATATTAGGTATTGTTTTATTCCTTATTGCATTTGTGTACTGTGGCAGCAGTAGCAATTTGTCACAGACCGAGCTGCAAACTATGCATTTCACAATTTTATTTTAATTCTATAATAATGGAACCTGCAAGCTAGAAATATAAATGGAAAAATTCTTGAATTTCTTGAAGATTTTTTTTATAAAGTTAAACAAAAAAACCAGCTTTGGCCACATACTGCGTTGCTGCTGTGTTCACTTGAATGTGGCTGCCACAGGCTGGTGGAATGACTCTGATAGAAAAAAAAATTTAACTAACAAAAGCATAATTGGACAGCTGGAATGCTAGCTTATTGCCTTCGAAAACTAGAGCTGCTTGAAGGCTTGAAGGGAGTTGTGGGGAAAAACCAAATAAATGTATGTGACAGGAAATAAATGTAATTTTTATTCAAGGGTCTGGGAAGAGGAAACAATTAAACCAACTGTGGGAGAAAATGGTTTATTAAGCGAAGTTAATTTTAGAAAAAATATATACATAAATTAAAATAAGAAAAAAGGATCTAGAGAAGGAGAGAAATAGAGATAAACCAAAAGAGACAAAAATTAAGATGGAACTGAAGACTAGTATATATCCTTAACATGACATGACATATATTAGTTATGTCGCTCGCCGCACTCTATAGTGCTAACCATAACTATTGACAAGATTTGACTACTTTTTTTTTTAAATTATTTTTTGTAAAAGTGTTTTCTTCCATACAAAGTATGCTCGACGATTTTTTATACTAAGAGTGGCAGTTACTGCCGGAATTCGCCCTGTTTTGTAGTTTTTAAAAGCCTTGGAGTGGTTTTCTAGCTTAGCGCGTCGTCCTGCTTTGGCAGAACTTTCCAGTTAGTCTATAAATTTCGATAATTTGATATATATCGACAATTCGATGCATTTCAAAAGCTTTAATATCCGATAGCTCAACGAAACTCGATAACTCAACTAATTTCAATAATTTTCGATAAAATTCGATAGCTATGCGTTTCGAGTCTCGATCAATTTCGGTAACTCAAAAATTTACATATCGACAACTCGATAAAATTTGGATACCTTTATAAATTTTGATAACGCGAGTAATTTTTATAGCTCTATATTTTTCGGAAGCTATCGGAAAATCGTTATAATTTGGTAACACGGTAAAATTTGATAAGCACTGATAACTCGTTAAACTTATATAACTTTGAAATTTCTATAAACCGTTATAATTACTCTGACAACACGATAACCTTGACATATTTTGAAAATTCCAAAAACTTAGATTCGATAAATCGACAAATTTCAGATATTTCAGTAAAACAATAAATATCGATAACTCTTAGTTTAAAGAACTCGATACATTACGATAACTCGATAAATTTCGTTGACTCTCTAAATAATCTTAGTTCAATAAATAACGATAACTTGATAAATTTATTTAGCTTGACACATTTTTTTAATCCCGTTAACTTTTATAGCTCGATAACTAACGGTAAATTTCGAAAACTAAGTTTCTGTGTCTATAAATTTGGGCAACTCAATAAACATTGATCAATTTGAATAATTCAATACGTTGCGATAACTCGTTAAATTTCGATAACTATATACTTCGATGTTTCGATCAATTTCGGTAACTTGATAATTTTCAATAACTAAATTTTTTATCACTAAATTTATTTCGATTTCTATCAAAAAATTTCAATAAACTTACTTACCCTTTTAGTTAGCCTAATTCTTACATATTTAACGTTGCGAAGTTAAACAAAATTCGGAAACCACTCAAATTGAATAGCTTGCAACGAAAACTAAATATACACAAATACGGAAATTTTTAAACGACAATTTTGGCCGTAATCTTCGGACAATTTTGAAACCATAAAAACTCTCCTCATCTACAGAAAAATACCTTTCCAATTGTATTCTTCGGTTCGGTAAAATCGCCAAACGAAGTCGGACAAAATTTATGTTAGCGTATTAATGAATAGATTGAGAAAATGAGCAATACCTTCAATGAAAAAACAAAAAATTGCCAAAAATCAACGGCAAGTCCTAGTCACTTTAAACTTGCAGTTTATCACACTAAAATTGAATTAAATACAAAACTGCGTACTTTTTTTTTAATATTGCACAAATATTAAACAAATATTGAAACCGCGATTGATGCGGGTTCTCTCAAAGAAGAAACTATATTTTTATAAACAAATAATTAAGATTAAAAATAAAAAAATTAATACTTAAATATTGTCAGTATGAGAGTGTCGTAAAGTTATGATAAGCAAAAAACCTCAGCTCGCCTCATCTCATCTCAACTCAACAAACCCCAATTCTACCTCACCTCAACTCACCTTAAATGCAGTAGTACTATTCATAATTTCCCGATGTAAGGTACTTCTTTAGCTTCCCCTTAAAACGTTGAAAATCTGCATATTCTTCAATTCAAATCCCAACACAATCCACTGTATTCTCTTAGTCCGATCAACATTCCATGCAAAAAAAACCAAAATCTACTATTTTAACCAACAAGGCTAACTAGAACTAACTAGAAAAGATAACAAACGGCCTGTAGTTGACTACAATAAAAAGAAAAACAAAAATGTGCAAGCTCAGGTCCATGCTAGGATTTTCTTTCTTCTACTACAGCTGCCTATGGTAACTGTTACTGACACCAAAACGAAGTAAGAGTATAATAGAAGTCAGCTTCAAGGATGCACATAGCACAAGAGAAGGACAAGCATAGATGAGGTAACTAAGTAACTTAACTATTGGTGCGATGTAACGAGTAACGAGTAGGCATATAAAAATGTCGAAAAGAAGAAATCTGCAACAAAAGCCTAAGAATTTCACATTGCCAATCTAGAATGTATGTACGTATGTACGTGCTGTTTGTTGCCTATTTTGCAGGCAGACCTGATAAACTTGACTTTCAAAAGGATAAAACGCATATGAAGTGACAGGCCTTTCAATTTAAATCCAGCAGAAAATATGCAAGTGAAGCGGATGAGCGGCGGGTGAG